TCTTTCTTTTTTTGTTCTCTCAAAAAGGTTATGTTTACCTAAATGATCCAACGTGTAAGACCAAATAGGGGATCAGTTTAGACATTTTGTCACGTCGGACTGAGGCTTACAATGAGGGCACCAAATTCATATCCAAGGTTAATAAAGAAACAACTCTGGAAGGCTTTTGTTACATTTCTAACCTGCCATAATAATACAGAAATACTGCCAGTAACATCACAACTAATTTTAAAGAATTTTACACTAATAGAACCAGTTCATAAAACTTTCATAACTGCTGTTCAGTGTTATCAGCTATGAAGTCGTTACATACCCTTAGATAATGTCAGCTCTTAAATCCACAAAGGCATCAGATTTAGCCTGTATCCCAACTCTGACTTTAGTGTGGGAGTTATAAATTAAGAAGTGATGCACTGCTAGAAGCGCAATCATGAGTTATGAAATGTCGCTCTGTAGCTGTGAGACTGGAAGCAGCTTGCTTGTACTCCTACATCAGTGACGATTTCACAAATTGGAGGCAGGATGTTGTTCTCCTTAGCTCTGGCTGAGTCTGAGAGAGGGAGTTTATGTTGTTAAAAATAAAGGTGGCAGTAACAGCTGCAGGACCCAAATCTGACAGGTTTTACTACTGCCAACATATTTTGCTAAAGAAGTCTAACTCTAACCAAGCACTTTCTGGACAGACTTCAGCAAGTCTGAGACTAAAAAATACTATCTTCTGCCTGTCTGTCCTGGCCCTGTAGGATTAATTAACAGCCACTAATCTTAATGTGGGGCTAACCCTGGACAGACATCATAACTCAGAAATTTGTAACTTTTAGGACCAGCCACCCTATAGAAATATAGGGTGAATATTGTGAAAGGAATTGAAGAGAAGGCACGACCTTGAGAAGAGAGAGCCTGTGTTGAAAAAACTCAGCTATCCCCTAATTTGGGGTACAGAAGCTGAGTTTGAATGCATGAGGGAAAAATATCTCTCAGGTAATAACACTTCAAAATTTCATATATACAATTGTATAAACAATTGATAAACAATTCCTAAGATGCTGACACCAGCCCGTTGAAAATTCACCATAATTCTAGAGCTCAGTGATGCTTTATTCAATCAGATGTGTTATCTGAACTTTGTAATGACTTTTCAGACCTTTTAAGGGTCCATCGCTATTCATACTTAGTGAAATCTTCTTAAGAGACATTTTCAGGGACTTGTAATGAAAAAATCTTCATGAAATTCAAGAACATTCACTGTCCTGACATTTAAGCCATTACACAGAAGTACATCAAAATGTACTTTCCTTAATTCTAGCACTTTGAAGACAATTAGATCATTCTAAAGACTGAAACCTGCTATCTTAATTCATGCAAACCAACCTTACTTACAAGCATCATCCTCATATCACCTACTTCATGGGCTAGTCGGCATGTACAGGTCTTTAACTTTTGGACCTTTCTTACACTGCCCTCCCTCACTGCGCATTAAGCTTGTGGACAGGGTAAGTCAAGTTGATTACTGCCCCCCTCCCCCGAAACAAAAAAGCCCCAACCCCAACCAAAAGA